TATATATATGTGTATATATATATATATATATATATATTATATATATATATATATATATATATATATATATATATATATATATATATAAATATATATATTATATATATTTTATATATATATAATATATATAAGTAAATATATATATATTTGCATGCAAAATAGTTTAAAATTAAGCGCGCAGATTCTCATTTTATTTCTTAAAGGAAGTTTGATAAATTTTAATTTAGTTTTAGTTTAGGAAGTTTGATAAATATACTTTTTCAAAATTTTAATGATTATATGATAATTTAGTACATACTTTTTCTAAATAATAATCTGATTATTTTTAAAATCATGTTTTTCAAAACTCTGATTATTTTTGAACCGTTCAACCATGACCGGCAAGAAAAAATTTTGGGAGGTCAAAATAGCAATTTTACTCATTTTGGGCGGTCATTGACCATTGACCGACCGTTTGTAGTTTTACACGCTGTATATATATATTCTACTAGGCATCCTTCTTTAAAGGCAGCAAAGCTCTAATATATATATATATACATATATATATATATATATATATATATATATATATATATATATATATATATATATATATATATATATATATATATATATATATATATATATATATTATATAAATTATAAATAAATAAATATATATATATATACATATATATGTTATATAAATTATATATAATTATATATTTATATATATACATATATATTCATATATGTTATATAAATTATATATAACTATATATATATATATATATATATATATATATATATATATATATATATATATATATATATATATATATATATATATATATATATATATATATATATATATTCTACTAGGCATCCTACTTCATATATATATATATATATATATATATATATATATATATATATATATATATATATATATATATATATATATATATATATATATATATATATATATATATATATATATGTATATATATAGGTTATTATGTTTATTATTATGTTATATTATGTTATATAAATTATATATAATGCATATTATATATATATATATATATATATATATATATATATATATATATATATATATATATATATACTATATATATATATATATATTCTACTAGGCATCCTTCTTCATATATATATATATATATATATATATATATATATATATATATATATATATATATATATATATATATATATATATGTATATATATAGGTTATTATGTTTATTATTATGTTATATTATGTTATATAAATTATATATAATGCATATTATATATATATATATATATCTATATATATATATATATATATATATATATATATATATATATATATATATATATATATATATATATATATATATATATATATATATATATATATTAGGTACGCGCATTTACGTCATTTACGGAACCGATTTTTGTGATAAAATCTTGTGACTCGTTTTTTTCACTTTTTTTTAGGCAGCGTGGGGTAGACGTAGTTTTGTGGAGTTTCTTTTTAAAAACATATATACACATAGATACTTTTTGGAAAGAAGAGAAGCTGATCTTTATTTTTTTTAAACTTTTATGTATGGTTACTAATTTTTTTAACGGATTATTTTGCTCCTGAATATTTGGTTGATGTTTTCACATAAATTTGTAGTCGAAGGCATGAAGTTTCCGCTTTTTTGATTGTTCAGCCACCTTTATACATGTATTTTCTATTTATGTGCCAAATTTCAACGAAAAATATTAGGGAGCAGATATGTAACGAGGTGCTTTTTTAAATATACTGCTTTTTTGAAGTAGGGTTAGACAAACGTTTTTAGTAGTGTTTTTTTTTAAAAACATATATAAACAAAAAGTATATTTGGAAAGAAGAAAGGTTTGGTTTGATTTTTATAGTACTTTTATTTATAACCACTAAACTTTTTTATGGTTAGTTTTGCTAAAAACTTTCATGAAAATTTCGTTGATGTTCTCACATTAAGTTCTTATCGAAGGAATGAAGTTTCCGCTTTTTTTGTTATTCAGGAACTTTTTTGCATGCATTTTCTTTGTACATGCCAAATTTCAGCCAAAAATATTAGGGAGCAGATAGTATAAGAAGTGTAGAACTTTTGGTACCTAAATTCGGTTTTTTTTTTTTTTTTTTTTTTTATCGGTAAGAGAAATACGGGGAGGATAGGGGGGGTGGCGAATGGTAAACAAAAAAATTCTTACTACATTGTATTATTTAATTTTTAATATTAGATTATTTTAATAAATAAAAAATGGTAAAAGTCATAACAAAGAAGACTTCAAAAAGTAAGTTAATTTGTTTTTCATGATAATAACAAAGTTTGTTTACATCATCATGATGTAAACAAAGATTAAGGTTTTTAAACTTATCATTATTGTTTTGTTTTTTAAAAAAGTTATAAGTTTTAAAACATTAATCTTTGTTTACATATCATCATGATATGTAAACAAAGATTAAGGTTTTTAAACTTATAGTATAGGGTTTAAAAACCTTAATCTTTGGTATAAGTTATACCAATGATATATTAAAAAAGATTAGGATTTAAGATTAAACCGTTACTTTGGAATATTTTATTAACTAATAGTATCAGATGCCAATGTTGTTAATACACCTTATATATAAAAATATACAAATGACATTATTATACTTTAAAGTAAAACTTTATTGGCTTAAGCCAATACAGTTTTTGACAAAATATTTTTAGAATAATATTATTAATGATAATTTTAGAATAACATTATTTTTTTAGAATAATATTATGATTTTATTTAAAATTTTTTATTAAAAGTCAATGTGTACATCAATAATATATGTTGAATAGTAACAAAATATTATTTTTACTTGTTAACATTTAGTTATTGTAATAAAGATTTAATTATTTTTATTTTTTGTTATGCGTTGGGGTGGGGGGGGGGGGCGGTGCAACATACGCCCTTCCCTAAAGTTAGTGTGCACCACTAATGTATGTTGTATAGTAAAAAAATATATTTTTACTTTTTAACAAAATATTAAATTACTGTAATAAAGATTAAATTATTTATTAGAATGTATGATTATTGTATTAGGGTGTTATAACATCATAACCACATCTACGGCCAACTCTAAGATCACTTTATTTTGTTTGGCAGTGTTCTGGAATCAAGTTATGGCAATATTTTATGTATAAAATATAACAATTACATTAAAAAAGTGCTTATTTTTGACAAAAACTTGTATTTTCTTAAGGGTTAGATGGTGTTTCATTACCCCCTCTGGCTCCCAAGATACACCCTACGTCCAGGCATCTATATGAACTTGTAGCCCATTAGTGCACCTATCTTTTGATACCAAGATATAGGTATTTGGATAAAAATTGACAAAGTTATAACAGTTTAAGTGAAAAAAATAATTATTTTGACCACAGTTTCTTCAACAATTCCATATATCTTAAATTTGGTACTAAAAACGTTATAACTTTTTTTAGAATTGTTCGTTTTTAATAATTTTTTCACCTTTAAAATACTGTATTAAAGGCCTTTCTAATGATATATAACATTGTACTATATGATTAATTTAAAAATTTCAGTGCGCGTACCTATATATATATATATATATATATATATATATATATATATATATATATATATATATATATATATATATATATATATATATATATATATATATATATATATATAAATAATATGCATTATATATAATTTATATAACATATAATTTTTATATAACATATATATATATATATATATATATATATATATATATATATATATATATATATTCAATAAAGAAACGATTCAGATGTTGATTTTTTATGTACTGATAAAAAAGACTTTAATGCTATTACACTAAATAGTTTAAATTCATCAATAGATTGTTTTTTGAGTACTAAATCATCATTGTTACTCATTTTAATTGGATGTTTTTCACTGCTTGTTTACTCGAAATTTTTTGTTCTGTACATTCTAGTATGTATATTTTGCATAACAAAAGTTGAATTTCGAAAACCGTGTATTCTAACGTCGCGTATTCCCCGGATCGGTTTAATCCGGGATTTTTAAATACCTAGGTATTTAAAAATCCCGTGTACACACAATATATACACAGGTACCTGTTCTTGAAAGATTTTAACATATTATTTACGTAAAATTTTAATAAAGTTTATAACGCATTGAAAATATGTTTAGAAAGTCTATTTATTAAATTACAAGAAAATTCTTTGGTTTTTTTATATTATAGGGGAACCTGTTGTACCTTTGACCACGTTGTACTTTTGGTCACTCTACTCTGTCAGCTTACTATTATTATTTCCAAAAAACGTGAAGTGCTATTCGAAACAATAGTCCATGACAACTCTTCTTACCGTAAAACATCATACTTGGGATAGATGGTATTGATCCACAAGTAATTATAAGTTTTGGCTCTTAAAAAGTAAATATTTGTGTTAACCTTTTTCTGATTTTAAAAATGTGATAAATTGTTGTTTGATTCATCTACGACATTATAAATATTTCCCAACATCATTTTTTTGTTATGGAAAAGTTTGAATGATTATGTCTGACCATAAATGGGGATTAAGACGATAATTGTTAAAGAAATCCATCTCGTGTACCTTTGACCAGACTAGAACGTTACTTTTGACCGACAAAAACTGTTTCCTTGTTAATTTGCGGACATTAAGAGCGTAAATTTATAAAATTTATATTTACTTTATTAGGCATCTGTACTCTATTACTTTTTAATGCAAAATTGTTTCTAGTATAATGGTAATGAAACAATTCCATTGAATTTTAATGCAATTAACTATTTATTCTTGGACCACTACTACATTTAGAATAATCAATTTTGTTAATTTAGTTAGTTGGATAGCTGAAGCATGTTATTATCAAGTTCATTTTATTACCTAATTTCTGCACAGCTATAGGGAATTAAATGTATAAAAATAGTTAATTATGTTAATTTATTTTAGTCTTAAAATGCCAAGGAGCAAGGCTGGTGTTTTTCGCCAAAATATTTCCGAAACGGATATGCTTAATGCAGTGAATTTTGTGCTTCAACAAAAAATGAGTTTAAGTAAAGCTGCAAGACATTGCAACATTAAAAAACCATCTTTAATATACCAGTTAAAGCAATTTAAAAAATCTGGTAGTTGCGAATATTTATATTCGCATACCAAACCAAAAAAAAATATTCTCAACAGAAGAAGAGTTAATATTGGTAAACTACTTGGTAGATGCTGCAAATATGCATTATGGACTAACATTAAAGCAGATAAGGTCCTTTGCATATGAGTATGCTTTAGAAAATCATTAAAAAGTTGAAACTTCATGGATAAAAAATAAATGTGCAGGTGAACAATGGCTACGAGATTTTCGCAAAAGATATAATAACAAGCTACGTAAACCACAACCTACAAGTCTTGGTAGATCTTCTGCATTCAATAGAGAAACCGTAAAAATTGTATATAAAAATTACAAAAATGTTTTAGAACGTTATCATTTTGATCCATCAAATATTTGGAACTGTGATGAAACAGGAATTACCACAGTTCACGTACCACCAAAAATTCTAGCTCCAAAAGGCAAAAAACAAATAGGGAGCATAACTAGTGCTGAACGAGGCAATAATGTAACAATGATTGCAGCCATTAATGCTACTGGAAATAGCATCCCACCATTACTTGTATTTCCACGTGCTAAATTCAAAGATCACATGTTAAATAATTGTCCTCCTGGAAGTGTAGGAGCAGCTAATAAGTCCGGATGGTCAAATGAAGTCATTTTTCTGCAATTTCTTGAACATTTTATTAATAATGTACGACCATCAATTGAAAAACCTGTTCTTTTATTAATGGATAATCATGAGAGTCATGTAAACATTTCTGTTATTGAGTTAGCAAAAAAATCAGGTATAGTTTTAATGACATTTCATCCTCACACAACCCATATAATGCAACCTCTTGATCGTGGTATTTTTGGACCATTTAAAACTTTTTATAACAATGCCATGAATAACTGGATGATATCACCAGGTAATGCTGGTAAACCATTTACAATTTATGATATATCTTACCTTGTTGGTCAAGCTTATCCTCATGCTTTTGTACCAAATAATATTATAAACAGTTTTAAATGTACTGGATTTTATCCATTTAATGAAAATATTTTCACTGATATTGACTTTTTAGCTGCAAATGTTACTGATAGGCCAATGGTGAATACTGAAGCTTACATTTCTAATGAAAGTATTAATGTTAAAACTGCTCAATCCAGTTTACCATCAACATCATCTATTGTTTTAGGGGAAATCCCTATTGTGAGTTGACCATCAAAATCATTTATTGTTTCACCTGAGATAATACGACCTCATCCTGAAGCCAAATTAAGAAAAACAAATACTTCAAAAAGACGCAAGGGAAAATCACGTATTTTAACTGATACACCTGAAATTAAAGTTATTTTAGATGCAAAATCTAATAACCAACAACTTAAAAAGTCCTCTTCAAGCAAAAGAAAAAAAATGGCAAAACAGATTATTTTTAGTCAGTCTGACATGTGTTTAAATAATGAAAGCTCTGATGAAATTGATTTTGGAGTAAATATACTTGATGATGAAAGTGAAATTGTTTCTGGAAGTTTTTTAATTGTCAAGTTGGTCGGAAAGAAATACTCTAGACTTTATGTAGCAGAAGTTATAGAAGTTGTTGGTATACTTTACAAGATTAAGTATCTTAAAAAAACCGGAGACTTTTGTAACAAATTTATAAGAGACGATGACAATCTTTATGAAATGAACTTGAAGATATTATTATGAAACTTCCACCACCAAGTATTGGTGGTGGTTCATCTAAACGTCAGTATCTTATGTTTGATGTTGATCTGACTATTTGTAATAATTAATATATTATACTCTTTTATTATTATTTTTTTTGTTGTTGTCATCATCAAAATATTTCCTTTAAAAAGCATTATGATCATATGTAAATGAATATAGACCGCCAGCTGATATAAGTTATAAAAATCTATTTTTGCTCTTTTCTTATCTTAAATAATAAAAATAATTATAGATATTAGAAAACATATTTGGTACAACTAAATCGCATTTAAAGTTTTGGACCTTAACCCTAAATATTTCATGTAAGTAGCATCTAACTGAAAAAAATATGTGACATTATCTAAAAAGTTATAATAACTGATTTTATTTTAAAAAATTAGTAACACTATTAGTAATACTGACTGAGTATCGTAACTTCGATAAACGAGTCTTGGCAATATTGTAAGGATTTTTTTAGACAATTAGGGTTGGTTATAAAATAATAAGATTTGTTTTTTTATTGACAAAGGTAGGCCAAAAGTTGCTATATAACATATAACAAACTAAAATACTAAAGAGGTTCAAACATTGCATGATTTTTTAATAACAACAGTGTGTTGTACCTTTGACCAAAAGACTTTTTTTTTTAAAACGCGGGAAAAAGATACTTCTTAGTCAAATGAAAAAAAAGTCCTAGTATAATTTTTTGGCAAAATATGAAAGAATATTATATAGTTTAAATGGTTTAAGTTTACTCAATAGACTACGCAAAAAACGCCTTAAAGCAAAAAGTGGTCAAAGGTACAGCAGGTTCCCCTACATACTTAATTATTAAATTATAAAGAATTCGTTGTTTTTATAGATATAATATACAAATGTTGTTATTTTTTTTTATTTTTTTGCCGACTATTTCAGTAATTAAAAAATTCCTTAATTCTTTGCTGTAATCTACATTCATTTTACGCACAATGTTGACTGTTGTAAGTTAACTTTTGAATCCTGTTTCCTATAAGACCTGTACGTATATCATTAGAACGGCATATAACGTTGAATGAAATCCCAAAAAGGGCTGTTAATCGCGCAAGTGTTGCAGGAAGTAACATTTCTTTTCGCTCCAATGTCGGAAAATAATTGTTTAACGTTTTGGTTTTTTTTGTTGGTGGTTCATCTGGTGTGTTTGCTAAAATAGTAGCTGGTGTGTGGTAAATTTTATGGACGGAAAGTAAGTGCACATGGACACCTTTCGTTGAGCCACCTCAAATTTTTAAAATCTTTTTACAGTCAGTATACTTATACATCGCAGGCTGCCCTATTTCTTTTTACTTTTTTTGTCATATTCCATGTATGAAAGCAAAACATAAAAAATAAACAATAAACTAACTCTAAATATTATTTACGAGTTTTTTGAACTTCCTTCTTTAATTTGCAATGCTTCATGTGCTAATGACGTTTTGAAACAATATCAATGAATAATTTTTATTAAAAATGGAATGTGATTAGTTAACTTTAATTTATGATAATTACGAGGTGTTTAATAGCAAATTATGTTGCTACTAAGACTGTTCCTGCTATTTTAACATTTAGATTAGATTACGATTTAGGTTTTGGTTAGGTTAAGATTAAGGTTACGGTTTTTAGTTTTGATCACAACACTATTAGCTATTGAAAGGACATTAAAACAACAGAAAATTTCTCAAGGAAATAGAAGAAAAAGAGCTAGGACTACCAGCATAAAATCTTTTGTTTACTTTTACTTATCAAATATAGAAAGTTAAAACTTTGAGTAAAAAAAAAAGTTTTTTATAAAAACATTTAAATTCTTACTCTTTTAAATATCCTTAATTATGTCCAGATTAAGAACGTTTTCTAACTTTATCAAAAAAAGTTTCAAGCGGACCTACTGAGCAAAACCTTAATAAGGTTCAAAAAGAGACTTTGTAAAAGTAATTCAGATTTTTTTTTTTTTTTTTTTTTTTTTTTTTTGTATGTATTTAGGTGCTCCCAGAAGTCCTTACGGTCTTATCATAGAGCACCGCAGGAAAGCATTTAATAGGAAGTTCACGCCTCCTTCCGTACCAATGTCGGTTTTTGGGCAAGAGCTGGCGTCGAACCTCGGACCTCTGGGTTCTGAGCCAGTACTCTAACCACTGCGCCACGGCTGCTCAAATTCAGATTCACTGCCAACAAGGCTGCCAGCAACCATTAAGTTGGGAATTACTAGAAAATAAAAAATAGAGTTAAAGAGCAAGAAAAAGGTTGATAGAAGACTTGAAAAGTTGTAGTTGTATGAGACAAAAAAACATGAAAATGGGAGAGAGTTCCAAAATGTTGAAGTGCGGAGGAAAAATTAGACAAATAAAAGTTTTTAGAGCATGCAGGAACAGATGCATTAAAATGATGGGATTTTGGTGAATGATGAATCAAGCAAAGAATGAGTTTTAGTTGATGGAACTAGAGATAATAGCTCCTTTAAACAGCGACTATAATAGTATTTGTAGAAAAAAGGAAGAGGTGCAACTGTACGACAATGGGAGAGAGGCTCAAGCTTGGCAGATATCTAAAATATAGCTAAATAATTATTATTATTAAGCTATATTTTAGATCTATAAAGTATAAATAAAGTTTTAAGCATGAAATTATAATTTATTTATTTTTTACAAACTTTTAGCGACAAAAATATAATTTTTTTAAAATAAATATGTCAACCAAAAACAATATCTTTAAACGCAAGTACGACAATGTACTGTACGACAATGGGAGAGAGGCTCAAGCTTGGCAGATAGAGCTGGTCAAACTACGATTACAAGGCATTTTCAGACCTTGTCAAAAAGAGAAAGAGCCGTATTAGAAGAACCATCCCAAATATGAGAACAGTATTTCATATAGGAACAAATAAGAGATTTGCAGAGGTAGAGAATAAAATCAGGAGTAAGAAAATGGCGAGCACAATAAAGATAAGCAACCTTTACGATCTATGTTTGCATGGTCTGGCTTGAAATTTTAACAAGATTTTATTCTACTCAATATATTTTGTGTCCAAAAAAAATTCAAAATCACAGTAAATTTGAATGTCTTTGAATTTAATAAAATGTTATTAGAACTTTTTTTAAAATTATTATAATCCATTTCAATATAAGTTTTAGTTCGATTTATTTATTTATCTTAATTATTGTTATTTTAATTTTAGATTGCTATAATCCAGTTCAATATTAGTGCGTAACACGCATTGGGACAAAGTTATATTTTTTGTGCCAAAATTATGTTTTTAATTTTTATTATTATTATTTAGCTATATTTTAGATCTATAAAGTATAAATAAAGTTTTAAGCATGAAATTATAATTTATTTATTTTTTACAAACTTTTAGCGACAAAAATATATTTTTTTTAAAATAAATATGTCAACCAAAAACAATATCTTTAAACGCAAGTATTTGTAAGGGACCATCCATATATAACGTATGTACCGAGAAGAGAGGGGGTGTCCTAAGTTAAGTAAGTTGCGTACGAGTGCGTATGGGTGGGGAGGGAAAGAGTCCAACAAATGGATGTACGCAAACGCAAAAAATTGGGGTGGCAGTTCACGTTCACTTACCCGTTAAAAGAAGGTGAACGCAGCTCACGCTCATGGCTATTTAAGGTTATAAAGGTTAAAAGGCGCAAAAAAAGTGATTACATTTGCGTCCGTGAGTGGACTTCGAGAAGGGGGTTAGACCACCGAACGTACGTACGCATTGGGGAAGGGGTATAAAATGTTCGATGTGTAACAGGGGGAAGGGAGGGAGTCCAAATCTGGAGATTTTTGCATACGCAATATATGAATGGCCACCTAAAGAAATAACTTTTTTATATCTACATTTGCACAATTTTGATATTATAACAGTATGGAAAGATTTTATAGGTAACATTTGTGCACAAAACATATTTTTTAAATATACATTGTTTTTCATTGACTAAGCGTTAAGTGAAGACCTATTTTTTGTTATAACTTTGTTTATGGAAAAAAGTGGAAAAATATTTTTGATGCATTATTATTTACATGCATTGAACAATAGATTTACATAATAAAATATTTAGAGAATATCGGTGAAGAATGGGTTGGTTGGTGTCTATAATGTGTCAATGTCGCAAAATTTTTATTCTCGCAAATTTGTTTGTCGAAAATGAGAAAAAGGAGTAATGTTGCATATTGTCGCATTATTGATTGTTGAATAACAGAATAAGGAATAATGTCGCAAATGAACTTAACAATTAGTGTCGAAAATTAAAAAAGGAATTATGTGGCAAAGATATAAAATTGGAATAGTGTCGAAAACACAAAAAAGGAGTAGTGTTGCAAATGAATTTAATGAATAGTGTCGAAAATAGAAAAAGGAATAATGTTTTGAAGGGTTTTAATGAAAAATAACAAAAATAATAACTATAAATGCCTGTTTAGATAACATCTCTGATGTCATACTGAAATAGCCTGCTGCCGGGGGGTTTCAGTACATATACTAACTATCTTATATCTTGCTGCCGCATGTGAGTGCCGCTACATCGACTGAGGGTTTGTAGTAAATTTTTCTTTTATTATTCTTTGGTTTTTTCTGTAAAAACCGTATGCTGTAAAGATAAGCAAAAGAGTAAGCAATTGCTGAAATTAACTACTTACGACACTGTTCATTAAATTCATTTGCGAAACTACTTTTTTTTTTTGCGACATTAGGCCTTTTTCATATTTTCGACACTATTCTGAAGTTCATTTTTCGACACAATTTCTGTCATCCGGTTGGTTTTGTAATAAATGTGTACGTACGCAGAAGGGAAGAGGTCGTTAAAAGCATACAGGTGCGTACGATAGTCCTTCATCAGGGGATTTACTTTTTATTTTTACTTTGCCGTTTAATAAAATTTACTAGGTAAAATTAATATTACTTAAAGTAATTATTATTATAAATAATACTAAAATTAAAAAAAATAAAAATTATTGGGTAAGTACTTTGTAGATCCCCGTTTTGTTTAAATAAATCTTTATTCTAATGAATATCATTATCATTATGGCAAATTTTCAGCATGTAATGTCGGCTACGATCTTTGAGTAATTTGGCACACTGTCCCACTGAGCAACAGTACGACAAAAAACGTCTTAAAATTTCGAGTAAAAATCAAGTAAAGAGCTTAAAAGACTTCAAGACTATAATAGCCATTAAAATATCAATATTATTTTGATAAGGAGCCAGATGGAAGTAAATCGTGGCCTCACCCGGTATGGTTTTAATTACTTTGATTAATTTATTCAAAGTCGTTTTAAACTTTCTCTGAATCTAAAGCCTTATTATTTCAGAAGCCATTTATTCTTTTTATGTAAAATTTTCAGTCTTTTTCTAATTGTTATTGTAGAAGGGGCTGGCAGTAAGATATGATATCAAAACGTTTTTTATTTTGGTCAGAATACATTTTACTTGCAATAGGGCCTTTTTTAGCGACTGCTTTACAAAAAATATCTATTTTACTTTGGCAAAGTATTTTACAAAATAAATTAACAGATATTAATCGTGATCTTGGTTGTTCAATTACTTTGAACATCCAATTATCTGCAATTTTACAAAACTTTAGGGTAAAATTTACACAATATTTATTTTATATAACTGCAGGAAAAAAAAGAGAGAACAAAAAACATTAATAATTCATTAATAATTGCAGAAAAAGCTTTTAACTAAAAAAAGTATGTATTTCGAATAAGTATTCATATAAGAAAAAGTGTATTAGGCCAAAAATTAAAACTTATCTTACATCGCAATTTATTAAAAAAAAAAATTACATTGTTATTTAAAATATTGACACAACTTTTTTGTTTCGATGCAGTGGGCCGGTAACGCGGAAAATAATTTGAATTAAAAAAAAGTACACGCATGATGGAAATATACAGAAAGTACACGCATAATTGAAAAGAAAACCAAGTAACTATAAAACTATTATATTAAATGACATAAAATTAAAAAAATTTTCTTTAAATTTATTGAGTATTTAGATCACGCTTTACTAAAACGAACTGAAATTATTCCTTGGGCGTGTACATTTCCTGGTTCCGCCTAACTAAAAGAAACTTTTTCTTTGCTACAGGCGTACAATCTAACTCTTCTCTAGGTAAACTTTTAGACTCAGTATAAGCTGAACTGCTTAAAACGTCTTCATCAAAAGGAGTTTCAATAAACGATGAAAAAGAATGATTAACTGAATCAGCTGTTTTGTTTTGTTTTGGCGTTTCGTTTAATGTTAATATTTGAGATTTTTTTAACTCACAAGGATTAATTAAATTGTCTTCTTCAGCTTCACCACTGCTGGATTCGTCACTGAAGGACTCGTCTAATAGGTCTCTAGGGATAGGTCTCTTTAACTCAGCAAATTCGTCGGAATGATCAATAACTTTTTTTGAATCTAAAAGCTTATCAGCAATACTTTTATCTTCTATTTCATCTCGGAAATTAAATATAGGCTTCGGTAAAGAAAGAGAACCGAAGGATTTGCGACTACTACCGTAGGCATTGTTACAAATCGGCTCCACCGATATATTACAAGGATTAACTAAATTAAAGCGCTCACAAAATGTAAATGTTTGCACATTAACACCATTTGATGAATGTGAAAAGTCTATGACTTTTAAGTCATCTAATTTAATCTCTTTTGTTTTTTCAACCGTCGGTTTGTACTTTTCGTCTAGTTCACAAAGAAATGTATTCTTACACGAAGTTGTTTGGATATTATCAGTTGCTCGAAGAATAGCTAACCAGCTTGCATCATACTTTAGAATTGTCTCATCTTTTGCAGGCCCAATGTCCAAAATTTGCAAAAAATTTCGTTTCGGCAAGCATTTGTCTAAAGCTAAAAACCTTGTAACACTTCCGTTTTCGTGTTCAACTAATGCTGAAAACTTGGCATGCATATGCCCAGAAAACCAATAAGCTGGTTTTAATGCTTTTAAAATATCATCAGCAGCATCACTACCAAGCTCATTATTATCAATTTCTTGTTTAAAGTAAGGCTTAAACCGTAACAGCTGTTCGCAATTACCATGATTATAGATGCCTTTTGGCCAATCGTGACTGAGAAATATATGAATAGGATTCTCTTCATCAGCAAGAAGTTTTATTTTAGCAACATCAAAACTGCGGACGTGATAGAAAGATCTTTTAGTAGATTCATTAAATGGCGGTTTTTCAAAGTGCCCTTTGTAATAATCTCCGCTCTTATAAATACCAGATAATCCTCCTATTCGATAACCGGCAAAGCTGACAACGCCAGCATAACCCATGTAATAAATGTTTTCTGCAACCCATCCACCGTAAGGTAATTCCCACAGAAAAAGTGCTGCTTCATGGTTACCACCAATAAATAAAGTTAATACAGGAGCTTTTCGTTTACCAGAATAATATTCGTGAAAATCTTTCATATCCATAAACTTTTGTGGAACTGCCATACTATGCATATCTTTTTGGTCGCGAACTGATTGGAAGTCCCCACAACAAATAAGCAGATCGACCTTAATGTTTTCTCGAGCTTCAATATACGCAACACTTTCATAGATTTTATTTAGCTCACCGTGAGCGCAACCTTCAACCGCGATTTTCATCTTAATATACGCATATAAATAAAACAAACCGATTTCCCCTAAATATATAAAAATGCCACAGAGAAATATTCATAATAAGCAAAATGTGTGTATATACAAACACACACACACATATAAATCTCTTCCCATAGTGACGTTTGTATAAATAAGTTTACTTAGGTTAAAACAACGTAAAAATATTCGAAAAAAAAAATTATACAAATAAAAATGTCTAATAACAACTACATATAAATAACTTTAAAGCACATACGTGACTTGGTGCAAAAACTAGGTGCAAAAATGGTGACTATATATATATATATATATATATATATATATATATATATATATATATATATATATATATATATATATATATATGTAATATATATATATATATATATATATACATATATATATATATATATATATATATATATATATATATATATATATATATATATATATATATATATATATATATATATATATATATATATATATATATATATATATATATATATATATATATATATATATATATATAAATATATATATATATATACATATATATATATATATATATATATATATATATATATATATATATATATATATATATATATATATATATATATATATATATATATATATATATATATATATATATATATATATATATATATATATATATATATATATATTATATATATATATATATATATATATATTATATATATATATATATATATATATTATATATATATATATATATATATATATATATATATATATATATATATATATATATATATATATATATATATATATATATATATATATATATATTATATATATATATATATATATATATATATATATATATATATATATATATATATATATATATATATATATATATATATATAACTAGGTGCAAAAATGGTGAGAAACAAATTATTATTTAATCGTTTCTCAAATAAACGAAAACTTTATTTTTGTATGACTAACAGGTATTCAATAAAAATCCATGTATCCAAATTAGCAAAATTATAATGGGAAAGCTTCATTATTGTGAAGCATGATAGACCTTAATATTTGTTTTATTTATTTTTCTGGCAACACCAACACTTTCTTTGACTTGCTTTTATAACCAGAAACATTAGGACACTATTATAGTAAGTTTTTTAAGAAAGATAAATTTATGACAAAACAGGTCGTATCTAAAAATAAGAAAAATTTGGAAGTGTACTTTTTTTAACCTTAAAACTTTAAATGGATTTTTATTGAATACCCGTTAATTATGACTTTCTAAAAAATAACAGAGGCACAAATGCAGATTTTTATTAACAACAAAGTATAAATCAAAAATTTGAAAAATCTTCAAATGAAATAAAAATCTATAAATATAATAAATAATCTAAAATAATTTCTTTTTTATTTATTTATATAACTATAAATAGCCACAGGTTGCTTTAGTTCTGTATAGTTAGGTATAAATGCTTTATCATTTTTTCAACTAAATATTTTTTAACAAGCTACTATAAATACTTTATAAAAAATCAGAAACTCTTCCACATAGAAACTCTTCCACATAGAAACTTACTCTAATTGACAATGAGATCTTTCTAAAATATACACTGGATCGAAACTATTCATCTTACGCATGACCTCTTTAAATTGACCTCCAATTGCAATAACACCAAATCTTGATTATCAAGAATAAAGCGATTAACTATTAAAAAATGATGCCATTTTTTGATGCAAGGAATTTAATTCTAATAGTTTTTTATCAATGTCTCCTTTAACTTCAGAAATTTGCATTAATTGATTTTCTCTGAGCCTTAAAAGATTGGTCTGCTCTTTAAGCATAGCGTTTTCTTCCTGCAGAGACTAACAAATATGATGTTAAAATTTCTTTATAAAGAGATCTTAAAAACTTTTTCGTATATAAAATATTGTTTAACTTATATATTACGTAAACATGAATAAATAAATTGCTAGAAATAATTAAAAAAAAAAATTAAAAATGACTAACTTTTATCTTTTTATCAAATTCGTTGTCTTTAAGTTGTTGTGAGTTCAATTCTTCACGATGAGAAAGTTGCTTGATTTCCTAAACATCAACAAGCCAAATATAAAACAAACTAAACATCAACAAGCCAAATATAAAACAAACTAAACATCAACAAGCCAAATATAAAACAAACTAAACATCAACAAGCCAAATATAAAACAAACTAAACATCAACAAGCCAAATATAAAACAAACTAAACATCAACAAGCCAAATATAAAACAAACTAAACATCAACAAGCCAAATATAAAACAAACTAAACATCAACAAGCCAAATATAAAACAAACTAAACATCAACAAGCCAAATATAAAACAAACTAAACATCAACAAGCCAAATATAAAACAAACTAAACATCAACAAGCCAAATATAAAACAAACTAAACATCAACAAGCCAAATATAAAACAAACTAAACATCAACAAGCCAAATATAAAACAAACTAAACATCAACAAGCCAAATATAAAACAAACTAAACATCAACAAGCCAAATATAAAACAAACTAAACATCAACAAGCCAAATATAAAACAAACTAAAAAATCAAAATCAAATCAAAAAAATAAAAAATAAAAAAAAATCAGTGGCAGTATGAGTAAGGTTTAAGGAGACTTAAACTTTAAATATTAATTTTAAATAAAAAACCTTTTAACATAAAATTTATGCAGTACATATTAATCAAAAGAAAAAAACTTATCTTGATAAATGCAATATACTACAAATTGTGTTAAAAAAATAAAAACAGACCTCAATGCATCAATGGATCAAATGCAATAGCATAAATACACTTGTAAAAATTCTATTATTATGAAACTGCTTATTTTTTATTATGTAATGTTGATATGGTTACAAAATAGCAAGCAAATCTCCCATAAAAAAGTCTCAGAAGAATAAACATATTTTTTTTGAGCAATACTAAAGTGAACAGATTTTAATTGTAACTTCATTCTTGCAAACCTATATATTCTTTTGAATATCAAATTAATCAAACTTGTTTATCTTTTTAATTGTAAAATCTTTTTTTTGGAATGATAAGGTCATTGCAAACACTCAAGTGATACAAAATTGCTATTACATTTGCCTTTTTGTACAAAATGACAACTTTAGAAAATTGAATCAGGGGTGTGAAGTAAAAAAAAATGACTCCGACTCCAGTTGTTGAAATTTTTTGAGTGTAACTGTGACTTTGACTCCAGTTATTGAAATTTTTTGAGCACAACTCCGACTCCAACTCCATAGCAAAACTTTTGAAAAATTCTTTGAATTCTTTAAAAAATATTACACAATAAGTAAAAAAAAATTTTTTGACAAATTTATGAAACGTTCTTTGAGGTTTAGTATGAACATAAGGTTATTTGAATGTTTTGTATATGCATGTGCAATACTGAGTTTTACTATTGAAGTCGGTGTCGCGATTTTGTTTAGCGACTCCGACTCCGCTAAAAATGTCCCAACTCCGCAACTCCGACTCCACAGCCCTGAATTGAATAATAATAATAAACTTTTGTTTATAATCAAGTTTTGTAAAATAAGTTTTAAGTTTTTCTTAAGTTTTGCTACTCTATCAAAACGAAATTGCCATTTCAACAATCATCTTGGATGAAAGAACTATTAGGAAATCGAAAACGGAAATATATTTTGATTTACAATTCTTTAAAAGTTTTACGTCTCACCTATTATTTTGAAAATACTTTTCTTAATCAATGAATAAAATTTTGTTTATTGCTTTGAGCATTTAATTAGACATTAAATATGTTACCTCTCTATAACACATTAATAAAAGAACAGTTACTGCAAAACAGTGCTACAGCCGATTTTTTTTTTTCAATATCTTTGGTTCCAACAAGGCTGCAAGCAACCACTATTAGAGTTGGAAGTTACTGGAAGAGAAAAGATAAAGTTTACAGAGCAAGATAACGATTGACAAACGACTTGATTGCAAACTATATGAATCAGGAAAGCACGATGAAGTAAGCGAATTCCAAAGAACTGATGTTTGAGGAAAAATACTAGACAAATAAGAATTTATGGAGCACTTATGAGCAGTCACAGAAAAAGGATGAGACTTAATAGAAAGACAAGTAACACAAGAATGAAATTTAGTAGATGGCACAAGAGATTCTAGCTCTTTAGAGCAGTGCCCATTATAGTATATGTAGAAAAGAGAAAGAGAAGCAACATTACAACGATGTGATAACAGTTGGAGGTTGGCTGCACGAGCAGGTCCAACTATGTTTACAAGGCATTTTTGCACCTTGTCTAAAAGAGAAAGGGCATAATTGGAAGATCCATCAAGTATAGTATATTCCATACAAAAACTATTGTGAGATTTATAGAGATAAAGAATAGAATCCAAATTAAAAAAGTGTCAAGCATGATAATGAGATGCAAACTTAGCAGATGCTAAATTTGCAATGGATTTGATGTATGGTTTCCAAGAAAGATCGCAAGTAAGAATTAATCCTAGAAGATGAAGGATAGACGACTCATCGAATATATATTACCGTTCATAAATAAAGGAAGATCTAGATAACAATTGGCAGAAAAATATTGGGTTTTATCTGAATTAAAGTTTAACAGTCATTGTGAGCCCCATGCTGAGGCAAAAGTGAGATCCTTTTCAAGCTCAAATGCCCCCTTTAAGCAATTAGAGGGTATTGAGTTCTTATCAAGACAAGAAGAAATGGTAGTATCATCAGCAAACAATGCATGATAAAACCTATCAGTTATTACTGTTAGCAAATCTGCTGTAAAACAAGAAGAATAAAATCCATATTGATGATCAAAAGATAAGTTATTAGACTCAAGATGAGAGATAAGTGTTTATTAATTAAAGATTCAAAAACCTTGCTTATGATAGGAAGATGACTAATGGGACGATAGTTAGACAAGTCAGATCGCTCTATAGAATTTTTGAAAATAGTGATAACAGATGCCGCTTTCCAGCAGGCTGGAAAACAAGACTCTGATAAGCACTTGTTAAATAGTTTCTGCAACAGGTATGTTGTCCAGACCACAAGCTATAGAAGAGTCTAAGTACAAAATCACTTTAGATACAGAAGCTGGAGTTAAATTAAATATTATAGAAATTGAATAGTTTCTAACTTGATTAAACTCCCCTTAAACCTAAAACACATAATCTCCAAGGGTCAAAGAAAATATTTTGACAAATACTTTAGTTTTTAATAGTTGGTTAATGATTTGAAATTCGGTTCTTTCAGGCCACAGAGACATTGTGGGACATGATTGAACTCAGAACTTCTTGCTTATGAAGCTAAAGCTGTACCACTAGACCATTACCACATAATATTATTAATCAGAATTAAGTTTTGCATAAAATAGTGTTTATAGTTATTTAATTTGAACTTTGAAAATCTAACTTTTAATTTTGGCTCAATTGCAATATTATACTATAGCTTTTTTGTTTTTACATATATGTTCTCATTTTTATTTATCAAAAAAAACAACCAAGTAATAATTAAGTATATGACGCTTTATAAAAATTTTTGAAAATCATTTTGTAATTCATCAGGATTCATTCATAATGAACAACTACAGCATATTCAAAAAAATTTTTATTATTTTTTATTTAGAGTATTTTAAATTAATTATAAAACTAAATGGTAAAATAATGTTAACTTACTTCATCTCGCTTTCGAAGTTTCTCTTGAGCTTCTTTAAAAGATTGCTCAAGCATTTTATGATTGGAAGATGAAGAAACACCACGAACAGATGAAAAATATCCTTCATTTGATTCAGTGCCAGTTGCAACCTAAATAACAATTGAACAGCAAAAGTTAAGAATTTTTTCCTTGATGAGGTTATTAATTCTTTTAAATTAATTTTTTTTTTATTATTTTCGAATAAATACTTAAACAAAACATTAAAAAAAATTGATTTTAAAGATTTTTTTTTTGACTAGCACTATGTTAAGTTTAAGCGAGGGTACTGCTACACATTATTAAAATATTGCTTTAAATCCAAATAAATACAGCATCTTATTAAATATATATGCCTTATAAAGACCTCAAAATTAAGAAAAAAATGGTTGGCAGTTGATTGTCGACCTTCTGCTGCTTTTGATCAGCATCAGGTCAGTATTTTTTTACACGATAAAAAACTTAAAAACAATAAAATAAAATAAATTATTCCATGTCTATATAACTAAATATATTTTATAAAAATCTTTTTAGATGATGATAACATTTTATATGGCTGACAATTCTGATATTCTTTATCAGAGTAAAAACTATTATTATTCTGCAGAATAGTTTATTCTGCAGAATAGTTTATTTTTCATCAGATTAGGTGATAATTTTCAGTGATTTCACTGTTTTCTGACTAGTTTTTTGACAGACATTTTATTGGTTAAAAAAGAACCATCAGGCCAATAAAATTTATCTGACTTCATTATCAAGGTGATATCTGATAAATACTCTATGTTGCATTTATAGCAATTATCATAAATGTCGATATTGTATCTAAGCCAAAGGATATATTGTAAGGTTTAACTATAAGGTGATTGATATTTTTTTTATAAAATCTTCCCTAGACCCTTTGACTAATTAAATTGATAAACATAAACCAATAATTGATATTTTTTTATAGGGTTGTTAACTGGAGGATTTCGTGCAATTTTTTGAAAAACAATATTCTTTCGTAAAGAGATTGAGAACGAGAAACTACATTTTTTTCGTACCGAATATTACAAAACATTTAAAATCGTCCATGTTCATTTCGCAAATGCTACTTCCGAAATTTAGCATTTCGCAAGTTGATATACAAAATAAAACTATTTTGCAACATACGAAAGTAGCTGTTTTGAAAGTCGCACTTGCAAAACAAACATTTTTGCCAAACAACGTTTTGAAGTCTATAAAGAAAATTTGTTTGCCAGACTGATTTTAATTGTAAAAATTAACATCTTTAAATCTCAAAATCTTTATAATGAATTTTCATTTTCAGTATAATAACATATTAAATTTTTATGGCTTTATTTTTAGAAATATTGATAAAAAAAAATCTTTCGAAACGAAAGTATTTTGCATCACAACATACGTAAGAGTTCATAACTGAAATAAACTTGTGAAATGTGCCATAATAAATATATATAATGTTTTTTAAACTCATTATGAATAGTAAAAGTAAGAATGATGGGGAGGAATATACATGTTTTTTTTTTAAAGCATATGAAATTTTTGAAAGAGGTTTGAATATGCTTAAGCAAAAGTATAAAGAAGCTCAAAAATATGCTTAAGTATATTTCTAATAAAATATACCTATTTCAATAATTTCTAAAAATGTGAGCATTAGTAAAGGTTAACGGGTATAAGAAAAATAAAAAGTTGACTCTGTATTTTTGTTTTGGTTTTAATGTAGCTGAATTAATGCTGTTATAAACTTCGGTTTTTGTTGTTTTTGTTGGTTTAAATTTAGAAATATATATATTTAAAATTTTTAATTAAATAAAAATAAAATTTTTTAAATGGTTTATTGAGGCACAGGAATATGCTTACATATGCTTATTTTTTTTCCAAATCTGAGCCTATAAGCGTTATGCTTATAAAAAAAACAACAAGTATATACAGTAGAATTCCTTTATCTCGGTCCCTGGATAAGCAGGACTTTGGGGCTATCTATAAATGATGTCAGTAAATATAAGGAGAAGGAGTTACTAAAAAGTTTGACAATGGGGAGGGGTGACAATGAGGAGGGGGTGTTGAGATGTCCATTTAATAAAAAAAAAATTCAAGTTTATTAGCCAAATTCACATCGGAAACCTGGGTCTATTTGTAGGGAAAAAAATAAAAATGGTAGCTTTGTTTAAACATTCTTAGTGTTAAAATAATCTTAAACCTGTTTTGTTTGTGTTTTATAATCAGAAAAAAGTTTAAATTATTAGCTTTAGCTATCCTAGATTTTAAAATGAAAAGACATTCTAAAAACGCAAATGGGAAACCAATAGGATTTTAATGCCTTCCATGTGTAGAAGCTATTCAGAACGAATACAAAAAACTTTTTAAAACAGTTGGAATGTATTGAGATCATGATCACATTTGGTCACAATACAACTTTAAACTAAACTCACTCTTTTAATTGAAAAAGATTTGAAATTTATATAAACAAAACTATCTATATACAAAAATAGACTTCACACGGTTTTGTTGTTATTTATAAAGCTACCATTTTTATTTTTTTCCCTAAAAACCGCGCTATATGAATTTGGCTAATACGAGCAGATTTTAAAGGTATTTACATCTACAATGTGGTATAGAAATAGCATATTAGCTTTGTGGGGAATTCGATGTAAGTTTCCTAGAGACATGATATAAATTAAAAATTTACCAACGTTTTACTATTGTATTACCATTTGACTTGAATGTAATTATTATAATTATAAGTTATTTGTCATTATTATTGAAGAACACTTCAACAACTCATGGAAAGACGATGAGTGATTGAATTTATATTATAGATATAAAATACAATTTTCATTAGTTTGTTTACTATTTGATGAGGTATCAACTGCTCTATAATATAATATGCTGAGATATAAATGTATAATTTAGCAAAAAAAAATCAATGATGCTTACACATATTTTTAATGTTACTTTAGGGGGGTTGGGGTACAAAACCTTTTTTATTTCTTCTTTTTCGAAAAAAACGGTATAGCTTAAGGTAAGCAGAAAAAGTGAGCAAATGCTTATCAAAACATGCTTTAGTAAGTGTGTGTGTGTGTATATATATATACATATATATATATATATATATATATATATATATATATATATATATATTATATATATATATATATATATATATATATATATATATATATATATATATATATATATATATATAATTGTACCAGAAAAACATAAAAATAAAAATCATTGACTTCAAATACACTTAGGCAGTTTTTATTTTATTTTTTTATTTGCATTCACTCCCAACAAGGCTGCAAGCAACCACTATCAAGTTGGGAGTTACTAGGAAAAAAAAGAACAGAGTTATAGAGCAAGAAAACGGTTGACAAAAGACTTGAAAAGTTGAAGGTTGTATGAGTCAGGAAAACATGAAGATGGGAGAGAGTTTCAAAGGATTGAAGTGCGGGGAAAAAAACTAGATGAATAAAAGTTTTTAGAGCATGCAGGGACAGATACAGTAAACGAATGAGACTTAGCTGAATGACGAATAAAACGAGAATGAATTTTAGTTGATGGAACTAGAGATGATAACTCCTTTGAGCAGTGACCATGATAGTATTTGTAGAAAAGAGAAAGAAATGCAACTTTATGACGATGGGAAAGAGGTTCAAGCTTAGCAGATAGTCCAGGTCCAACAACATTTACAATGCGTTTTTGGACCTTGTCAAGAAGAGAAAGTGAATCGTTAGAAGAACCAGCCTAAATATGACAACAGTATTCCATACAGGGACGAATAAGAGATTTGTAGAGGTAGAGAATGGAATCAGAAGTAAGGAAATGGCAAGCACGATAAAGAGAAGCAACCTTAGCAAAAGCTAATTTAGCAATCGATTGTATATATGGTTTCCATGAAAGGTCAGTAGTAAGCGATAATCCAAGAAGACGTAAAGAGGAGGACTCAGTAAGAGGATTGCCATTCATTAATATAGGAATGTTGACCATATTACGGTAGTTGTTTGCAGTAAGCAACTGGGTTTTTTTAGAGTTGAAATTCACAAGCCACTGTGAACCCCAATCTATTACTGAAGTGAGATCGGATTCAAGATCAGCTGCTTGTTCTAGGCAATCGAAAAGAGAAGACTTTTTGTCAAGACAGGACTATAAAGTTGAGTCAACAGCAAAAAGAGCTACTTTAGATGAAAGGTTTTCAGGAAGATCGTTTATGTAGATAAGAAACAAAACAGAGCCCAGGATGGAACCTTGGGGAACCCCAGAAGTTACTGGAAATAAAGAAGAGTGTTGGCCTTCAAGGATGACTTTAATAAACCGGTTAGAAAGAAATGATTTGATAATCTCAAAAACTTTCCCAGAAACACCATATGAAGCAAGCTTATGGAAAAGACCAGCATGCAAAACTTTGTCGAAAGCTTTAAAAAAGCTGTCGAAAGTTAGGTCGACATTGATAAATGCCAACCCTAATTCCAAGGGTTGTCTATGAAACATATACACTCATACATTTACTTATATATCTATTTTATTATTAAAAATAAATAAAAGAAAAACACATGTTATTATAATAACAATGTCAATATTCATATTGACATATTATTATAATAATAATATTATAAGACACTTAAATATTATAAATATTAAATACACTTTAACATTATTAAATAATTACTATTTGAATTTGTGAAAGAAAAAATGGTGCATCTGTATTCTCTAAAAAGAAACCTGTTGAATGAAATTGTTGTGTAGAGTTATGGTGAATGGTGCTGTGGTGCATGATGATTGTTTAAATTGTGGTGCATGCAAAGCTTTTTTTTAACTGCATAAATAGTAATAAGTAATTGAACAAAGTAACTTTTCCCTCACCAACAAGAGTAAAATCCACTAAAGCAAACAATTGTAAAATCCACTATAACAAAACTAATAAAAATGAAATGAAATCAAAGAAAATGTAAAAAAATAATGTATTTAATACCAAGTTTAAATTATATATAAATATTTGATGTCATAATAATTAAACCTATCATTGTATTCAGTATTAAGTAAAACTTATAACTGTATTCATTTTATGCATTCAGCACTTTAAATTTGTTTTATTATTTGACCACTGCTCGCACCTTTTACCACCTCATTTGTGAGAAACTATAACCAATGAATTAAATATTACCATTTTTCTCAACTTGCTGTTTTCTTCTTTGTAGTTATGGAGTTGCTCTTTCCATTTTTCAACATTTATCAAACTTTCTTGTAATGCAGCAGTAAGACGAGCGTTATTATTTTTCAGTGTTTGCAATTCGACTTCCCACTTCTTTGCATTAACAGAACTAAATAAGGACATAAACAAATACTTCTTTTTCTTTATCTATTTATCCTTTTTTTTTATCATATATATATTCATGCATATATATATATATATATATATATATATATATATATATATATATATATATATATATATATATATATATATTCACATACATATATATATACATATATATATATACATATATATATATACATATATATATATATATATATATATATATATATATATATATATATATATATATATATATATATATATATATATTATATATATATATATATATATATATATATATATATATATATATATATATATATATATATATATGTATTTAGATATTCTTAATTTCTAGATATTGATTAGAAAAATTAAAAATTCTTGTGCAAACTACATTAAACAAAAAAGACAAAGTTCAAGTTTCAAATTGATTTTTTTTGCTTACAAAATGCGATTGTTTTTTTATTGTTTTTTTTTGGCACAACAGTCAGTATCACTATAACATTAATGACAGGTCATAACATAATACATATATAACACTAAGGTCAAGTTTATAAAAGAAAACCATTATTGTTGTAACTGAGATGACAAACGCTGAGTCATTTTAGGAATAAACCATTTATTGCATAATAAACAAGAATGGTTTTTTAAAGACATGGTTATTGCAAAAAAAAAAAATTAAATCAAAGTTCAACTCTTACAAATTTTAATAGTAATTAGTTAAATGATTTTAAGAGACCATATAAAACAGTTTGAGATAACATATGTTCGAGTTAACTGGTATTTAACTTATCAGGAATTAATTGTTGTTGTAAATTACTATTTAAGTCAATACTATGGTTTTCTATTTAAGTTATTAAAACTCAGACTTAAACAATTTTTAAAAATACATTAGAAAAATAAAAAAAGTAAAACATATTTAAACTCATATAATATAAATATAAATTATATTATTTAATATAAATTTATTATGCACTAAATTATTGAGTAATAATTTTTATTTTATGTGATGAATTATATATTTTATATTTGTCTCAATTTGAGCAAAATAAAAAAATATAATGCACGTTTAAATGTTCTGCTAAATTGTAATTATTATACAAACAATTTTGTATTGAGGAATATATAAAATGAAAAATAATACACTATTATTTAACTGTTGTAATAATTGTTGCAACTTCTTGCATTCCATTACAGTAAGAAAACATATTTTTAATAAGCAGTAAAAACTTTTATAGCTCTTTGTTTGTCAAGTTTTAATCAAATAAGTAGAGTTATTAAAGGATCCCAAACCTCCAAGACATGTTGTGTTTATATTAAAGAAAATGATAAAAAAATGATTGGGCTAATTTTTTTTTGATTTAAACAAAAGAATAAACGCATACCAAGAAAAACTAACTTTTTTATTTTAGTCAAAGCTCGCCTTCTCTGTTATGTTGTAGGCTAAAAATATAATATACATTGCAAACTACAGACTTGATAATTTATTCAAGCGTGTTTTAATCCTAAAAGTTTTAGTACATGACGTCATTGATTTTTTTGTTTGTTTGCATAATCAATCTATTACACACACACACACACACACACACACACACACACACACACACACACACACACACACACACACACACACACACACAAAATGTCATTAATGTTATAGTGCTATTGATTGTTGTGCAAAAAAACAAAACAAAAAAACAATCACATTTTCTAAGCAAAAAAAAAATCAACTTGAAACTTGAACTTTGTCATATTGGTTTAATGTAGTTTACACAAGAAGTTTTAATTTTTCTAATCAATATCTAAAAATAGAGAAAAAAATAAATAAATAGATAGCTTGTGTGGAAACCTAAAGAAAAAGCTTGTCTAAAGAATTTTTGCACAGTGCAATAAACAACACTTGTTTAGGTATATATTCTTGTAACATTAAGAGCATATGCATGTAATGAGTATAAAATCGATTTCTGTATTAAATAAACATTTTTTTAATGAATAAACAGAATACTCACACAAAACCTCTCTTACGTAAAAAGCCATTTATAGGAGCAGCTCGCAAGACATGCCATGTTCATTTTAGGAGAGCTTTTTTCCACTCCCGCCAAGGCCTGCATACAACCCTCGGAATTAGGAAAAAAGAGGTCTGCATCACAGTTTGAGACCTGAAATAAACTGCTGATCTCAAACTGTTAGAGGTCTGCATCAGGTTGGCAAAATAAAATTGACACAAAGGTGTTATCATAAAACATAGAAATGAGGTCAGTGATTTTTTGCTGACCACAAACACTTCAATGTTGGCAGTTAAGTTTATTCCCTATTTCCAAGGACTGTGCATATGTATACAGAAACAGCCAAAAAGAAAATTAAATATAGAAAATAAGTTATAAATGCAAAACATGTGTGCCGATAACACACTATTCAATTACATATAGTTATCAACCAATAGGAAAATATCTCTCTGCTTTGTAACATGAATATCATTATTTTCTTAGAGTATTACTACAAGATACACAATGTGAACAAGTAAATCTTTTAATCGATGATGGTAGTCTAAATAAGTGATTGTTGCATATTTAAAAGGATCCCTAAGCACCGTGACCCTTTTTTTAAATTATTTTAGTTTATATATATATATATATATATATATATATATATATATATATATATATATATATATATATATATATATATATATATTTATATATATATATATATATATATATATATATGTATATATATAAACAATTTTAAAATGTATTCTATAAAAAAGAGTGCTCACTGTTCTTAAAAGAACAGAGCAATTATAAATTAGTAGAAAATCACTTAACAAAAATTATTTTCATTTTACATTGTGTTTCATAAATAAAGACTCATCAGAAACCAACATCAGACACATCAGATTTCTGATGAGTCTTTATTGATGAAACACAGTGTAAAATGAAAATAATTTTCGTTTAGTGATTTTCTACTAATTTATATATATATATATATATATATATATATATATATATATATATATATATATATATATATATATATATATATATATATATATATATATATATATATATACATATATATATATATATATACATATATATATATATATATATATATATATATATATATATATATATATATATATATATATATATATATATATATATATATATATATATATATATATATATATATATATATATATATATATTAAACTGAAATGCATCAAAAAAGTTTTAGCATAATTACAGTTTAAGAAGGAATAGAGAATTTTTATTTAAATTAATTTACACACCAAGCTGGTGCATATATTAAATAGTTAAATAAAAAGCCTCTACAGTGAACCGTAACATTCATTAAACAAACCAGATACTTTTATAACAAAAAAAAAAAAACTAAGCAGAATCCTAAGCCTTACATTAGGCTAAGAAACAGTAACAGCAGAAATAAGATATTAAAGTTAGAAAAAAGCTGAAAGGTTTTTAGTTAATATCTCAATAAATGCTTTGTTTTGCTTTTAAGTTTAATTAATTCCAAACTTCCTTGGTTAATACTTTTTCATTAAATATCTTGTACATTTGAATAAAATGGCCCCGAATCCATCTTACAACCAAAGTAGTGAGGCTATTATCTAATCTTTTCTCACAAGATTGCTTTTTTAGTGGCAATATTAATCTTGTAGCATAATGCTTATCATAATTACAAAAAGTTTAAAAAACTGCACACCATAAGTACAAAAACTTCAAAAACTGCACACCATAATTTAAAAAAAACTTTTTTTCTTTTTTTCAAAATTTAAATTTGTGATTGATTATTTTCAATCCATCAATCCAGGATTAATGTCATCTTTTGATTTGATGTGCTAAATGATATTAAGAACAGTTTTCTCAGACATTTTCAAATGTACAGCAATCATTCATTCTTCACTTGTCGTCTTCCATTAAAAGTTGTAACTGTGCACATTTAGCAAGTGATGTTGTAGCCATACTCTAAGATAATAATGATTGAGTCACACATGACTTCATTGCTTACAGAGAATATAGGATATTTTAAAACTATGCATTTACTTATGCAACACACGATTGTTTAGAGTGTCAGATGTGTCACCATACATCTCAGATTTCGTTAATTTTTATACAGTTGAGATTTACTTAGTAAAATAAGAATAAGGACATAACATAAGGATTTTGATCTGCAAGTATATAGATTTCCATATATGGATAACGGGGCACGGTCCCCACTTATTTGTAACGGAATATTGTGATTGATTTTTCACTACCTTACAGACTAGCTGGAGCTCTGAAACTTCCAGCATTTGTGTAGTTCTGATGAATATGCATGTTAAAATTGTTTTCAGAGAAAACAATTTTAACATGTGTATTGCCAAACTTTTTGCAGGGGAATCTTGCAATAGATTTACTACCTTCCAGACAAACTGGACCTCTGAAACTTTTAGCATTTGCATACTTCTGATAAATGTGTGATAAAATTATTTCCAGGGCAGACAACTAGAGAGTTCATAAGGCCATGGCGCAGGGGGCTCTGCCACACTTATTTTCTTTAAAAAAATTTTTTTTTACTTTTATTTTCAACCAAGTTAAAATAACTTTGCAAATATTGTCTACAAAAATTAGATTCAGCTTTAAATTGATGATAGCTCATAATTTCAGGAAATGGTTTACTTAGCTGAAGATGTGTTTTCAAAGTGGTGTGCAACTCTGTCAGTCAATTCCTTAAATATTGTTTGTACAATAGTCAAACATTTTATTAAAATTCAATATCTCGTCATTTATGGGTGTTTGTAGACTTGCATTTGCAGGTAATCATTTTACAGTGTCACCAATACCACCACCACAAGGTAAATTACTATAACTTGTAGCAAAAAATGTCCACTCTGCATTAATATCAAATTATCTTTATGGAAACAGATATTGTAAAGGTTTTTGCGGTTTTTATATGCCCCTCCTACGTAACCTCCTGGATTCAGGCTGGAATGGAAGCTTT